CTATACGATGTTAAGTTACTAACTACTAAACTACACCTACTATATATATATATATATATATATATATATATATATATTTTGATTAGGTTTATTTTAACACTTTTCACTTGTGGCCTTTTTTTAAGGGAATAATAGTGGGTCCCAACTTAAAAATGATGCCAGTGTCCTCTATCTATTACCAAAATGACATTGGGACCCTCCTCTATTTGGGACACGACATCCAACAATGCTCATGAAACATCATTCGCAACATTTCCATCTATCAAAACCTACTTCTCTTTGAAATATCCAAAACTAGTTTCATACTAGTTTTTGGTGCTTGAACTTTTTCGTAATTCTGATTTCCATGGGCCCAAGAAGCAAAAAAAACTTTCCAAAAATTAGGGCTTCAATGAGTGAGAGCAAGTATCCATAGGCATTTCAAGGCAAGAAGGCAAGAAGGCAAGATTGAGAATTGGGCTATTTTGTAAAAGTGAAAATAGTGGAAAGGAGTGCGAGAAAGAAAAGAGGGGATGAAGAGGAATTTGGTTTGTAGCAGTGAAAATAGTGAGAGAAATTGAGGAGATGAAGAGGAATTTGATGACCCAACTTCTAAATTTTCAATGGGCTCAATTTTATGGATACCACTATCATTGAGCCCATTTGGTAATGGCAAGACTATAGTCTAGTTCAGTACACACTCACAAAAACAGTTCCATACACCACATTGGGTGATTTTCCCTGACCAAAAGGTAAGAAGAGAGAGAGAGAGGAGAGCAAGAGAGACAAAGAGATAGTGAGAGTCGTGAGAGAAGAGTGGGAGGAGTAATAAATATTTTTAAAAATAAAATATAACCAGCACAATCCCAAAAACATCTTAATATCTATCACCACAAAACATAAATGGTCTCGTGATATATATTCCTTTTTATACACAGCGTGCGGATTATGTAAGGCATTTACATAAAGCAATTATATTAAGGCTCACCTCCAAACCCCATCAAAGAATCAATTTCGATACCAGAAGCCCCTTTGTTTGTCCGAAGATCTAGTTCCACTTCCACTGCTCATTATAAAATTTAAAGCTCTAAAAATAATGCAAAACGTGTATATGCACATATATCATATGTGCGTGCGCACCAAAAAAAAAATCTTGATGGTTTTCCATGGGTTATTTTTTAAATCCATGCCATTTATTCACTCATATATGTACATAGACACATGAAAGTGCAACCAAATCTATAGAATAGAGTTGGAGTAGCTCCTATATCTACACATAAACAAATAAAAAAATAGAGCGCAACTCTAAAGCATAAGCTGAGCCTGTGTAGGAACGAAGAGAGAGATTGACATGGAAACCTAAATCATCTCAAAAGCATTGAGCTTGCCCAAGAAGAAAGAAGGGAGAGATTGAAGAGATAGGGAGCACAGTGATAATAAATTTAAGGACACTTGCGTTTATTCCCATGAGTCTTCATGTTATAATAACATGGGCACACTTTTTGGTTGCCAGAAGTCCCTGGGGGCACACAATTACACCTCGCACAGCACGTGCCGCAAGCCCTCTTGCAAAGGTGCGGCCTCGAAGATAATCTGCACCTGCCTGAGCATGCTTTTTCACAATCTAAAAAAAGAAGAGACACAAAACTTCTTAGAAACATTGAAATAAATTAAGAAACAGTAGTTTATCAAGAAATAGTGGTATTATTACCCATGGTGCCTGTGGGGAGGGAGCCTTCAGTCACCTACATAACATATAAAAACACAGGACCATCAGCTTCATTTAGAACCTATGCTAATTTCTACACTACAAGGATGGAATGAAATGATGCAAGAAGAACTAGATTATCTTTTGCGTGTTATAAGATGGGGATTACATCATGGTGCTAAGAAAATTAGATTATTTCCCAAACATTACTAATATGGGATTTTATTTGAGACTATTTATCTTTGTTACAAGGATGTTCTAATTACTCATAGCCATTAGATATCAAATCCGATAATTTGGAGTGTATCACCAAGTTCGAGAAATATATTTTAGATCTTTAAGTCCACTCAATGACACACTCACAACCACCCAATTTAAAATCAGACAGACATCAATAATTGTTATCTCTTTGAACTAAAAGTAAATTCTCTCTTTATATACTTCCCTTGTTAATATAATCAACTTTTGTAATTTAATAGATTCATAATATTTGGAAGAAAACTTAAGGTTTAGAAGGTAGAGAGAAGAATTCGGTTTCGATAATTGAGGGTGCATACCTCTTGCGGTTGTAGTGCTAGCCCACACTCAGCAATGAGCAACAGAGCAAGGAAAGACATAGCCAAGATGGGTACAAAGCGAGCCATGATAAAGAGAGATGGAGAGAGAGAGCCTTGGTATGAGAGAGAGAGTGTTTTGTTGAAGCAGAAGAGATGAGAGGAGAAAGAGGGAGAATGAGTCAAATTTATAGCACGCTTTGAGATTTGGAATTTAGGAGTACAACCCACTTTTTCTTAGAAAGAAGGGAGATCACCAAGAAAAATCCCTGAAGGTTGGGTTGTACTTCAGGAAATGCTCTCTAGGGTTGGAGATTATGCACTCGGAGACGTTTCTTCCATTAGTAGCAATGCGGCAAGGCCAACTTAGGGTCTCTTCCCTTTTGGCTTATTTTCATATTTTGAAAGGTGATTTATTAATGGCCTTGTATACAACGCTCCTGGGGGACCATAATTTATTTCTACTCTGTCAGATGATTTGGTCGGGAGGATTTTGTTAATGAAATTTTAATAACCACCTTGTAAACACTACATGATTATTTTTAAAATAAAAACATTGAATTTTGAGTTTTTTTACACTTAGATCTCACCCTTTAAAAATTTGTCAAATTCTATTCATTCTTGAGACATTTTTTTTTTTCAAGTGTTTAGAGGGCTTAGGATTTTTATTTTTTTATTGAATTAATCTATGTGTTAAAGAGATTATATCTCTAAATTTGAGTTCCTAAAACTAATACTCGGTGGGGGTTTTACCCGCTGGAGTAAATAGACAGTATACTCACTGTCTATTTTAACCTTTTTAGTTAAATAAAAGGAACAAGTGGGAGATTCTCAACCATCCATGCAGCCTGCCAATCTTTTGTTATCATATTGGGTAGTGATGACGGTGTGAAGGTCATACTCATAGCATTGTGTCATACAGTTGTGCTTCTTATCTAGATTCCACGCCCTCAAGAACCTACCTCCCATGTTCTTTTGGGCTCCGATCTCTATCTACTTTTCCCCAAGTTTTTGATAACTTAGGAGCGTAGGATGGGTTAGATTATTAAAATCTCCTAATATTTAGCACAATATTCTTTTCACTGAAGGGTGTGGTTTCTAAAAGGTTCCAACCTTAAACAATCCAGTTGAGGTGCATCTTGAAATTTTATCATGTAATTTTGGTGCAAAAAATTTAAAAGATTGTTTTAAAATTTATTTTTATCTCTAATTATACAATTTAAAACTCTAAAAATGGTTAAAATCAAGTAGATCTATAAATATTCGAAAATATTGAAAATGAACGGTCTAGATATTGTGTTGCAAGATACATTATTTTTTAAACTCAAAATCCTTTTTTTTTTTTTTAATATTCATACATTTCGAAGGTTTTTTAGTATTAAAAACAACTTTTTTATATCCATTTTTGATGTGTACTAGTAATTCTACATTTAATAGTTGTAACATTATATAAACTTTTTCCTTCACTAAAGATGCTACACGAGTTCTTAAACTTGCATGTTACATAAAATCACATCCTTTTCTTGATACATCTAATCACATCCTTTTCTTCTTAGCTGGTTTTTGGTTGGAGGGATGGATCAATTTAGAGGGCTACACGAGTTCTTAAACTTGCTTGTTACATAAAATCACATCCTTTTCTTGATACATCTAATCACATCCTTTTCTTGATACATCTAATCACATCCTTTTCTTCTTAGCTGGTTTTTGGTTGGAGGGATGGATCAATTTAGAGGGCTACACGAGTTCTTAAACTTGCATGTTACATAAACTCACATCCTTTTCTTGATACATCTAATCACATCCTTTTCTTCTTAGCTGGTTTTTCTTGATACATCTAATCACATCCTTTTCTTCTTAGCTGGTTTTTCTTGATACATCTAATCACATCCTTTTCTTCTTAGCTGGTTTTTGGTTGGAGGGATGGATCAATTTAGAGGGCTTATAATTTTGTTGCCATTGCGCACTGTAAGATCATTTCATTTTTAGTATCAGAGGTCACATCACTCCATTTTTCATTTTTAGTATAAGAGGTCACATCACTCCATTTGTTGGATGTAAGAGGGTGCCTCAAAAGTACAAAAAAAAAAAAAGGATCATTGTTTGAATTTTGAGCTTGGTCCATAGACATCTCTGTCACCCGTGGGAGTGGCAATGGACCCATGATTGACCCTGATTGCGAACCGACGAGTGGGGTATGGATCCTCATAGGTCTTGGTCCATGTGGATCCGATCCGAATAGTATTATTATTTAAATAATATTTAATATATAAATAAATATAACTATATGTTTTAGTTATAATATTTCAAAAAAAAATATGTAAAGAGATTATTTACTTTTAATATAAAGAGATCACAATCACTTTTGTCCATTAAATTTTAAATCGGATAGTTGTAAGTGTATCATTAATTAGACTTAGAGTTCAAAAAATATTTTTGAACTTTGTGACAGACGTCAAACTATCCAATTTGATATCTAATAGCTAATACCAATTTTGACCTCCTCATACTAAAAATATATGGTCTTATAGTATACAATCTCATATTTTCTCGACACTATTTGAAGAAATGTTTTAAAGATTTGAGGTGGGTTTTTAAAGATTGTTTAGAAGTTATGGCTCAATATGAACTTTTTTATTTAAATAATACATAAAATATAAATAATTTATTTTCGCCTATAGGCATTTTTTTTTTTCTTTTGAGTACAATCATATAAAAAAAAATACCAATAAAATTGAGCTTCTAGACAAAAACCCATATCTTAAAAAAAAAATACCACTCTTTTTTTTTTTCGTTTTCCACTTTTTCATTTTTTTTTTTTCCTTTTCCACTTCTTTATTTTTTTATTTACTTTTTTTTTTTTTTGCACTCAGCTTTGAAGCCGGAAGTTGTTTTTTTTTTTTTCAAAGTTCTCTTTCTTAAAAGAGCATAAACATTATTAATTCACACAAATAAGGGTACGGAAGCCTTTGAGCTCGATGCTACGAATTCTTGCAAGGGAACAACCATCATCGGCCTTCCTAGCAGTGGAGGAGAACCAGGTCATGAGCCCTCTGCATCTCAAACCATTGTTCTAAAAGAGATCGAACCCCCCTTTGTCAAAGCATCAGAGTTTCTGTTCGGTCTTGCCTCGATCATTACCTGGCTCGCGATAAGGGAAGTGTTGTTGGGATATAGTTATCTTGGATTCATATTGATATACATCATTATGGATGTATATGTCTATGGATAAAGTTAGGTATCTAGCAGATAGGACCAAGTTATTTAGTCATCAAGTTATCATACCATAATTATCTCTTCTAATCGTGTGATTGTCCTTTATATAAAGAGGAACTTATTGATGTAAACATTAATTCAATATAATGAAAATATAGTCAATTGGGGCGAAAATATAGCCGATTGGGGCTTTAGATCCGTGGACGTAAGGGGTCCTAGGGGTTGGGGCTTTAGATCCGTGGATGTAAGGGGTCCTAGGGGTTAGGCCTAAACCACGTAAATATTCTATGTTCCCACAAATTCTAACATGGTATCAGAGCGACGTTACGATCCTTGGACCTGTAGGTTATGGGCCCACCACGCTTCTGCTCGATGCTACGAATTCTTGCAAGGGAACAACCATCATCGGACTTCCTGGCAGTGGAGGAGAACTAGATGATGAGCCCTCTGCATCTCAAACCATTGTTGAATAGAAATGTAGTCAACATATCTAATGTACCCGCTATGTGGACAAGAACAGTTCTGGTATTCGTGCATTTTTCAGTTGTTTCGTGCATTATTTACTCCTCCTAGCCCCTCACCATGTTCCGGTATTCGTGCATTTTTCAGTCATTCATTATTAGCAGATTTTTCAGGAGTCTTTGGTATCAAGACTCCAATTCCAATTTAGTTTCAATTTGATGATCAAGAGTTCCGAAGTTATGGTTGATGATCAAGAGTTCCATCTCTAGATGAGGAGAAGAAGATTATCAAATTTTTTGATCCTGGTTGATGATCAAGTGTTCCGTCTCCAGATGAGGAGATGAAATTGATTGAATTTCTCGATCCTGGTTGATGATCAATTTTTTTGTTCCTTAATCTTGTTTGATGCTGAAGTTTTCCGTTGCTCCATCCTGTGTGATGATCGTCGAGTTTTTCGTTACTCGACCTCGGATGTTCCGAAGAGAGAGAAAGAAAAATCATTTTCTTTTAGAGAGAGAAAGCCTCTAGAAAGAAAAGAAGCCTTTGAAGAGAGAGATCTTCAGAGAAGGCTCTGAAGAGAGAGACCTTTAGAGAAGCTTCTGAAGAGAGAGAGCTTCAGAGAAGAAAGTAGAAAGCCCAAGAAAGATTGCTTCTTGGAAGACCCTAGAGAAAGAAAGTCTAGAGAGCCCAAAAAATGTTGTTTCTTGAAAGACCATGGTAACATGTGATTTTTTTTTTTTTGGTAACTTAGTATTGTTCAAACTCGAGCTGCTTTGTGTCAAAGAATCTTGAGTTTGAAGAGGAATGTTGAGATATAGTTATATTGGGTTCATATTGATATACATCATGGATGTATATGTCTCTTGAAAAGGTTAGGTATCTAGAAGACAGAGACCAAGTTACTTGGTCATCAAGTTATCATACTATAATTATCCCCTCTAACATGTGATTGTCCTCTATATAAAGAGGAACTTATTGATGTAAACATTAATCCAATATAATGAAAATATAGCCGGTTGGGGCTTTAGATCCGTGGACGTAAGGGGACGTAAGGGTTCGACCTGAACTATGTAAATATTTTATGTTCCCACAAATTCTAACAGTTACGTAGTGTTTTTCTATATATATATATATATATATATATATATTTGGAAAATGATCTCGTAAGCCTGTTCGTGTATACACCACTAATGCGCCCAAGGGCATGGATCATCTTGTCCTATTTCAATGGCGAGGATGATGCATGGCTGGTCCCCGCTTTTCAAATTTTGAAAAGCCCAATTAATAGCTTCTCAGCTACTTGTCAAGGGACCTAATGCCTTGTGCAAAGCAAGGCCCTCTCTCTCTCTCACTCTCGTTCTCTATCCCATTTACAACCATCACCTTCTCGCTCTCTCCCAACCCAACGTCTCTCTCTCTACTACCATCGCTCACTCTCTCTTCTCTCTACAACCAGTAGCTGCTTCCCCTGATATCTCACCCTCACACTCTTTCCTATTTCACCCTTTCTCTCAGCTCACCTTCTCTCTCTACAACCAATATACCTCAACCTCTCTCTCTTCCATCTCACCCCTCTCTCTCTCTGTACAATCATTGCCCACTCCCTCTCAGCTCACACTCGCTCTCTCTACAACCAAGAGGGCATGCCCCCCTCTCTCTACAACCAGTAGTGGGAGTAGCCACACATATAACCAACATGGCATGCCCCTTTTTGTCTCTCTTAC